GTGGATTCATTTAGGAGTGGGTCCAAGTCCCTAGTTCCAAGGGGTGTATAGCTAGCCTTTGTTCAAAGTGGATTCATTTAGGAGTGGGTCCAAGGCCCTAGTTCCAAGGGGTGTATAGCTAGCCTTTGTTCAAAGTGGATTCATTTAGGAGTGGGTCCAAGTCCCTAGTTCCAAGGGGTGTATAGCTAGCCTTTGTTCAAAGTGGATTCATTTAGGAGTGGGTCCAAGGCCCTAGTTCCAAGGGGTGTATAGCTAGCCTTTGTTCAAAGTGGATTCATTTAGGAGCAGGTCCAAGGCCCTAGTTCCAAGGGGTGTATAGCTAGCCCTTGTTCAAAATGGATTCATTTAGGAGTGGGTCCAAGGCCCTAGTTCCAAGGGGTGTATAGCTAGCCTTTGTTCAAAGTGGATTCATTTAGGAGTGGGTCCAAGTCCCTAGTTCCAAGGGGTGTATAGCTAGCCTTTGTTCAAAGTGGATTCATTTAGGAGCAGGTCCAAGGCCCTAGTTCCAAGGGGTGTATAGCTAGCCCTTGTTCAAAATGGATTCATTTAGGAGTGGGTCCAAGGCCCTAGTTCCAAGGGGTGTATAGCTAGCCTTTGTTCAAAGTGGATTCATTTAGGAGTGGGTCCAAGTCCCTAGTTCCAAGGGGTGTATAGCTAGCCTTTGTTCAAAGTGGATTCATTTAGGAGCAGGTCCAAGGCCCTAGTTCCAAGGGGTGTATAGCTAGCCCTTGTTCAAAGTGGATTCATTTAGGAGTGGGTCCAAGGCCCTAGTTCCAAGGGGTGTATAGCTAGCCTTTGCTCAAAGTGGATTCATTTAGGAGTAGGTCTATGGCCCTAGTTCCGAGGGGTGTATAGCTTGCCTTTGTACAAAGTGGATTCATTTAGGAGCAGGTCTAAGACCCTAGTGGTGTATAGCTAGCCCTTGTTCAAAGTGGATTCATTTAGGAGTGGGTCCAAGGCCCTAGTTCAAAGGGGTGTATAGCTAGCCTTTGTTCAAAATGGATTCACTTAGGAGTGGGTCCATGGCTCTAGTTCCAAGGGGTGTATAGCTAGCCCTTGTTTAAAATGGATTCATTTAGGAGTGGGTCCATGGCCCTAGTTCCAAGGGGTGTATAGTTAGCCCTTGTTCAATGTGGATAAATTTAGGAGCGGGTCCAAGGCCCTAGTTCCAAGGGGTGTATAACTAGTCTTTGTTCAATGTGGATTAATTTAGGAGCAGGTCCAAGGCCCTAGTTCCAAGGGATGTATAGCTAGCCTTTGTTCAAAGTGGATTCATTAAGGAGCAGGTCCAAGGCCCTAGTCCCAAGGGGTGAAGAGCTAGCCCTTGTTCAAAGTGGATTCATTTAGGAGCAGGGCCAAGGCCCTAGTTCCAAGGGGTGTAAAGCTAGCCTTTGCTCAAAGTGGATTCATTTAGGAGTGGGTCCAAGTCCCTAGTTCCAAGGGGTGTATAGCCAGCCTTTGTTCAAAGTGGATTCATTGAGGAGTGGATTCATTTAGGAGGGGGTTCAATGCCCTAGTTCAAAGGGGTGTATAGCTAGCCTTTGTTCAAAATGGATTCACTTAGGAGTGGGTCCATGGCTCTAGTTCCAAGGGGTGTATAGCTAGCCCGTGTTCAAAGTGGATTCATTTAGGAGTAGGTCTATGGCCCTAGTTCCAAGGGGTGTACAGTTAGCCCTTGTTCAATGTGGATTAATTTAGGAGCGGGTCCAAGGCCCTAGTTCCCAGGGGTGAAGAGCTATTCCTTGTTCAAAATGGATTCATTTAGGAGCAGGTCCAAGACCCTAGTTCCAAGGGATGTATAGCTAGCCTTTGTTCAAAGTGGATTCATTTAGGAGCAGGTCCAAGACCCTAGTTCCAAGGGATGTATAGCTAGCCTTTGTTCAAAGTGGATTCATTAAGGAGCAGGTCCAAGGCCCTAGTTCAAAGGGGTGTATAGCTAACCTTTGTTCAAAGTGGATTCATTTAGGAGCAGGTCCAAGGCCCTAGTGTCAAGGGGTGTATAGCTAGCGCTTGTTCAAAATGGATTCATTAAGGAGTGGGTCCAAGGCCCTAGTTCAAAGGGGTGTATAGCTAGCCTTTGCTCAAAGTGGATTCATTTAGGAGTAGGTCTATGGCCCTAGTTCCAAGGGGTGTATAGCTTGCCTTTGTTCAAAGTGGATTCATTTAGGAGTGGGTTCAAGGCCCTAGTTCAAAGGGGTGTATAGGTAGCCCTTGTTCAAAGTGGATGCATTTAGAAGTAGGTCTATGGCCCTATTTCCAAGGGGTGTATAGCTAATCCTTGTTCAAAGTGGATTCATTTAAGAGTAGGTTCAAGGCCCTAGTTCAAAGGGGTGTATAGCTAGCCTTTGTTCAAAGTGGATTCATTTAGGAGCAGGTCCAAGACCCTAGTTCCAAGGTGTGTATAGCTAGCCTTTGTACAAAGTGAATTCATTTAGGAGCAGGCCCAAGACCCTAGTTCCAAGGGGTGTATAGCTAGCCCTTGTTTAAAATGGATTCATTTAGGAGTGGATCCAAGGCCCTAGTTCAAAGAGGTGTAGAGCTAGCCCTTGTTCAAAGTGGATTCATTGAGGAGCAGGTCCAAGACCCTAGTTCCAAGGGTAGTATAGCTAGCCCTTGTTCAAAATGGATTCATTTAGGAGTGGGTCCAAGGCCCTAGTTCCAAGGGGTGTATAGCTAGCCTTTGTTCAAAGTGGATTCATTTAGGAGTTGGTCCAAGACAGGGCCTTGGTAGAAGGACAAGGGAGTGCAACAAGTGGTTTGTTTCTGTTTAAAAATGATGTGGATTCACCAGGGAACCAGTGTATATGCAGCTATGCACCTTGCTCATACAGGGCCATCAACTACAGTCATCCTCTCCATACAACCACAGCTGATGCAAGGACCAAAATCAGTTATTTATTTGTGATTCATAACATGGTGTCAGTGCATAGCTATAACTCTTTGAATACAAACTGCGTGGTAATTAGACTCCAAAAACATTTTTATCTCAATAAAGACAGTCATTCAAAATATTTTCTGTAGACATTAAATATGGCACTGCCATATACATTCAAAAGTTAATTTGGATGTTAAATAAGTCATTGATTTGGTTTTTTTCTTCATATATATGATATCTACAGTATACCTTTATTTTCATTTTAAGTAAGAAATCCCAGGCTTATTTGGAAGTCAGCTTATTTCCAAAGCAGCCTGATTTTCCAAATGATTTAGACAGTTAGTAATTAATGGCATATTTTCATGTCCTTCTTTTTCACATGAATTTTTTTTTACTGCTTTTTGTCCTGCCGCTCACTGCCATGTACTGTGATCGATTCAAACATTTTTACTGTAGATAGTGAATAAGGCACTTCCCTGTACTGCGATTCAAACATTTCTAAGGTCTTTTAAGTAATTAGATGGGATTTAAATTTGGTTTTGCTACCTGACTATGAAATACAGAGGGTCAGTTTGTTTGCATCTGGTGAACAAGTTATCCAAACAGTGTAGATGGAGTGCATTTGAGTGAGATCAAATTGTTAGGGGGGGGGCAGGGTATCTGGAACATGGATACATATTTTTTGGGGTCCTAATGCATTGGACAAGGAAGTAATTCCAACAGTGATGACACTATAAGATTATCAAAGTTTTGGAGCAATTTGCAACTTTATCGAGACTTCATACTTGCATTTACATGTAAGAATAAAATTAATTATAATAGGATATAGCTAATATTTTAAAACAATAAACCCCTTTGCTAGTGTAAGGTGAAGGCAGAATTTATACCGACTGCATCGTTTACCAGTGATATTGTGTGTGTGCGTGTGTGTGTGTGTGTGCATGTGCATGTGTGTGTGTGTGCGTGTGCGTGGGTGTGGGTGTGTGGGTGTGGGGGGGTGTATGTGTGTGTGCATGTGTGTGTGTGTGCAATCAACGACAAAGAGATAAGATAATACTAGGAAAACTGAAGTTTGATGACAGATGCTGAAGCGTGGAAAAAACACATAAGTATATTTATAACTACAGTTCATCCAGTGATGACAACAGATGCTTATGTATATATAGTTCAAGTGAGAATCACTTGTAGCCCCAACGGTGATTTTTTATTTATGTACTCTTCTCTGATGTGGCAAAAGCTGTTAAAGGTCAAAGGACCTACGTCAGGTTGGTTAGTTTTGTTATATACAGCATATACATGTACTAATGTATGACTGTCATGCTGTTGTTTGAACATTAATGTATACATATTTTTTTTTTTATTTATTTGGGATTTTTTTTCTCTCACTTTTATGGGAAACTTTTGGTTGTTTAATTGTACCAACAATGTTTTAATATTTGATTTATTAATAATCTGTCCATATCTTTTAATTTCATTTCAATCAGAAAGGACTCTATATCAATTTGTTTTCTTGTTTGAAGAAAAGAAATAACTCTTGGGCCTCCACTCAGAGAATAAACATTTAAAAATATCATCAATCACTAAAACATCATAGAAAAAAAACAAAAGAAAAAAATTAAAACATTTTTTACACAACTTAAATGAATAAGTTAATAACATTATTTTGTAGTCGATGAGAAATCCAGGTCCTGTCAACGTTAACTTACATAAAAAATAAATATGTTAGAAATGTTGTATTCGCCGTAAAAAACAACATTCTTTTAACTTAGTTAACTGGTTATGTATTTTACACGATGTCATGCAATTACAAAAGAATAATAAAAACTATTGGTGCATTTGGGTTTATTTTTAATCAATGAAAAGCAATGCTCTTAGCTACAAATGCTACACTGAACATTGTTGACAAATGTACAATGTTGACAAATGTACAACAATGTTCTATTACAGACGTATACCGAGATTCCAATTACCGTCAAACAGGTGCCCGTAACAATTAACAGAAGTAAACAACACATGTTTGTCCGGAACTTTTCTAGTTCGCAGCCGGGATAGCTATGTTGTGTATTGGATTGTGTATTGGAAATAATGGCCCAGCGAGTTGCTTCCCTTGTCTCCATCGCTGAAGCACAACAGATGGCGCAGATGTCTGTTGGATGCTGAGTGATTCATTTCGCCGGTAACATGCAAACAAACAGGAACAGTGGATTTGCGGACCTGTGTAAATTCTACTAATTGAGGCTCTAATTTTGGAAATCGTTTATACTTCGGATCTAGCGTCATTTCCAAAAGATGATAATGTTCTGAGTACCTGCGTCGGATGAGAAAACGGTGGTCCGCTTATATGATGCTATGCCGTCTGCTTAGACTCACAGTGTTCATGCATAGCTAGCCGGTTATCGATTTATATGTTAATGACGAAAATTCCTTTTGGAAAATTTATGTGTTGTTTTTGGATTGATGTTGGGTTGTGCTAGGAGCGTGGCCTGACTGCCGAGCCCACGCCCATCATCATGTCCCGGCCCCAGGGCCGTAGCCTGCACGGGTCGCACCACAAGGAGGAGCAGTATGTTGGCCCATACAAACTCGAAAAAACGCTGGGCAAGGGACAGACAGGTTAGTCAAAATTTTTAAAAACCTTTGTCTTTTTACTCGTAAATCATTTTTGTTAAATTCATAATTATGACATTATTGAATGTGTTGTTGAATAGAAGATATCAATACATTTTTGAAAAAAAAAGTATTTTTTATAATCATAAAAAATTCTCTACAGAAAAGAATTGAATGCATTGCATCATGTCGAATGATACATTGCTTTATATGTAATGTTATCTGTGTTTTAAATGACATAATACAGTGATAGCAATCTTTAGGTGGCAATGCCTCGTCTACGTCTGTACATGATCAGTGATGAATAGCAAGGCGATCGACTTCTCTATGTAAGCATGTAAAAAAATACAGAACAATTCTACATGCTGCTGCATTTCTTATTTCTAATTTATCATGAAATCGTGCCGAATTTATACTTATAGGTCAGTTCGTTATCTTTTATCTTTTAACATAATAAGGGTATGCATCTTTATTGACCTTGTATATATATATACGTATGTACCCTCCCATGCTGAAGCTGCTATAGGCGAGTGATGTATGTGTACAGTTATACATCTGAGTTAATGCATGCTTCATAATCTATTATTTATTTTTTCCAGAAACATAAACACAATGATATTGTATTGTTGACATCCTAACTGTAGGCTAATTAGCTGTTACAACCTGCGGATATATTATCCTGCAGAACCTGTCCTGGTACTACATGTTGTATATGACAGTTTTATAAAAATGGTGTTAATTTGTGAAAAGATATATTCATTGATCCTATTAACAGAAATTAACAGGTTGACACATTTTAAAGAAGCTATCTTGTCCTCATGTTCATATCATTTCTATATGGGTTAACAAGTTCATCTACTAAGGATATACAGGTTCATCATATTGACAGTTCAACAGCTCAGGTACACAATAATTGAAGGGGTCATATACAAGAGTCTATTCTTTTGATTTGGTCAACAGGTTCATTATTTAGACAAACTGTTCACCCTTTTTAGTATCTGCTGAGGTTAGCAAGTTCATCCCCACAATGAGGTCAACAGTATCCCTATTTTGATTAGGTCAACAGGTTTGATGTTTCTGACAACAAGTTCAGACTGTTGCCCATGTCAAGAGGTTCATCTTGGGATCAACAGTTGTATCCCTCTGATGAGGTCAACAGGTTCAACATTTCTATAGGATCAACTTGTTCATACACTTCTTCTGTAAACAAGTTCACCCTCTAGATATGGTCAGCATGTTCATCTTACCAACGGGTCAACAGTTCATCATATTTAGAGGTCAACAGGAATATACTTCTGACAACAAGTCATCTTCTTGACAGGTCAAGAATCTCATCATCAAAAGGTCAGCATATATATATATATGCTTCTATTGAGGTCAGGAGGTCATTTTTTGACAGGGGTTAGCATGTTTATCCTTTTGACAAGGTCAGCTGGTTCATCATTTTTATTGGGATCAACAAACTTATCTTTCTTGCATAGGTCGACCATACTCAATGAGATTGACTGCTCGGTTAACAGGTTTGTCCTCCTTAGAAAATATCTCACAGGTTAAAAAAAATGAAAGGGATCTTCTTGTTCCCCTATTTGATAGTGGTTTACGCTAAAACTTGGGTCAACAGGTTCATTCCAATATCAGGATCAATAAGTCCAACTGCTAATAGGTGTCAACATGTTCTGACTTATGATATCTATGGGGTTAACAAGTTGATTAGTCCTGGTAGTGAGTGGGTCAGTGGTTCTGTTTGGCCAATTGAGCTAATTAGATTAATAGGACAAATTGTTATCGCATCGCCAACACTTTAAATTGAAGACAAAATTGGACCTTGCAACGCAACTACTTTCCTGATTTAAATAAGGGAAAAAGTGATGTTCACCAAGTGATGAACATTGAATTTAATTCATTCACCCCTGACATTTCATAATGAACTATTCTAACCTTTGAATTGGAAGAGTTCAAATGTGTCTTCAGGGTTGAATGAGATCAGATGATTATATATATATATCTCTTCTGACTTCATAAGATCTTCTTTGTGTGGACACAGATGGATTTACTTTCAGAGGAAAGGGTTCCTGGGTTTACCTGAGTCTTGATCTACACTTTTAACATAATTGTTGTTTTCGTACATATATTTTAGCCTATAGAAAATGACTCAAGGAAGAATAGTTTTGTGATTGAGTCACTGTATTTTTAATTTCACTGGTATTTATGGACAGAAAAGAATTTCCTCAATGCTATAAAAGTATCTGTAAGGCTGTATATGTTTAAAATATCTAGGGTTCAGCATAGTGCCGCTATCTTTAAAAAGTTTCAATTTCTCTTATATTTTCATGTTCACTCTGTGAAGAAACATTACAGCACTAGAAATTAAAATCTCAAAGTGATTGAAGATATTGATTCATTTTCTCTTTTTGGCACCAGAATAAAAGACTGTGATCCCTGAAATATTTGATTTCAAAGTCAAGTACAGTAAGTAAACTGAAGTTTGTATTAACTATGAACCAGTATAGATCATCCCTTCAATTCACTCTGTATACATTTCTATGTAAACTGAACATTGTGTAATAGTGCTACCTCACTAAAACATACTGCTGAAGACACCCAGCAGGACACCCCACCCAGTCACATTATACTGACAACGGGTGAACCAGTCGTCCCACTCCTTAATTGCAGAGCGCCAAGCAGGAGCAGAAACCACCACTTCTACAGACTCTGGCACGTCTCGACCAGGGGACAGAACCTAAAACCCTCCTCACAGGGGCGAACGCTCAACCAAAGGCCAAAAGTGAGGCATTGTCAAGGGAGACATTAGGAAGGAGAAAGTTGTTTAGAAAGAGGAGAAAAGATAAGATCCCTAATTTAGTTGCCTCTTACGATCATGAAATGGGCGCAGCAGGTACAATTCTTATGCCCTACCTGCAGGGACACCCGAAAGTATAAAAATATATGTGAAGGGACTATATAATCCTGTAGTAATCAACAGAAAATGAACTTTCTGATAAATGTCTATTTATGAAATGTTTTGATCTATAAATGATCAGTGAAGATGGAAAGTAATGCTGCGACAGCAGATACCAAGTATACATCACCCAGCATTTAATGTCTTCTGTGGCTGTGAATGGGATTTTATCCAGGCTGTCAAATAGTTAACTTTGACTTGTACATCTGGCTGATGCAGAGAGGATCATTGGAATTGTAGAAGGGACTGATGAAGATGCAACAGTTGCTGATGTAGGGCATGCAATGCAATGCTGCAGCTGAAAACCCCATCGTGATTCATATCTCTGAATCGTCCCTTAGCACCACACTGAGAATAGTGCTCTTCCATCTTTACTCTCGCTGACATGTCTACTTGGTGTGAGTGTCAGATACCAAAGTATATAGCCTATTAGAGTCAAGTACCTTTGAAACATCGCATGGAAAGCCCTAGGAAACATTTTTTAAATTTCTTTATTTAATTTTATGATTGATTTTATCGTGAATTTAGGTGTATATAAAATGTATTAGAAACTCATACAGCCTTCATAGTACAAGTATGTATGATGGAATACCTTGTGTAGGAGTTTTAACATTCGCCCCTGAACTATTCCAAGTATAGTATGAACATGTTCAGTATCTATTGGTGGATCCAAAAGGTTGGGGTGGGGGCAAGGTAGGGGTTTACATCTTGGATGCTTCTTTCCAAATTTGACCAACAACCTAAACTGCACTTGTGGTCATTGAACTTTCCATAAACATTTTCTTCAGGTTGGTAATTATGAATTGTAGAATGGTTGTGTATCACCACCAGTAAGTGTTTATGTTTAATGTTGGACTGTGCTATGTGTAAATGTTAACAACACAGAGAAATGAGACGTGGTTGAAATGTTAAATGAACTTAACAGAACTGCCAGTGAGGAAGAACCCCAATGCTCTTTGGAATTTCATCACACGAGTATAACGTTAAAGCATCATAGGCTTGTAATGGATATTGACAAATGCATTTTGTTGAAATATTCAAGAAATGATGTGGGATCATTTACATGACAATACATGTAGTAATTGCACATGATTCTGTATAAGGGTACATTAACAACAGAGCCCCTATTTGTATAGCTTCCTTTTAAGCATTGAACTGTTTTTGTATGGTATTTATGATCTATTTGAATGACACAGCTTTGCAAGCAAACAAATCATAATGTGCTAGCTCGCATTATGAGTTGTTTGCTTGCAAAGCTGTGTCATTCAAATAGATCATAAATACCATACAAATACAGTTCAATACTTATATTTATGTTTTCTCTTCCTCTTATGTTCTTTTTTAACTTATAATTTATATCTAAAATTAAAAATGCCCGCCTTATCGACAGTCCACACAATTTCGTTCAATAATTTGAACAGCGTATTGTCGCGTGCTGATTGGCAAACAAAGTAATATTTTGAAATTTTAACAAACACTTCAATTTTATTCCACAATTCAGTATCAATACAATTGCGTATGATATGTCTATAGGGTGATTTAAGTTTATCAATAGAAATCTGAGCTGAAAGTTTGATTTTAAATTGTTCCGATTTTCCCCCGGAACAAATTTCCCCTTTTGAACAGTGCAGTGTAACAAACGATATTTCTGATAAATTGCACGAGTGTTAAAATTGTTTTCATCGTCAGCAATAGTGATTTCAACCGATGTGCATTTTGTACAATATTGCAGACCCTGGTCTTGTTTTTGTTGTAATAAAAGTATTTTTTATTTACTTTTTTCTTTTGTACATAAATTTACAATGACATTGTCAAGTCTCACAATGCCCAGCGATATTTCAGCAGACGTCATGTTTATTTACATTGGATATTGTAGTTCCGGTCAGTGTTGTATTAATACGCTAAGAATTGTGTCTCGTGCTGCATGGTAATTAAAGTGCCATCAACGACACAGCTTTCAAAGAGGCTATATAGTGGCAATGCCATGCAAATGTATATATTAATTGTTGACTGCTAATCTGGCTACCTTTGTTGACTATTAATCAAA